AATCCAATCCGTTAGTTTTTGGATTAGTTTGGGTTAAACCATAAATCCTTCACTTAACACTTAATAATGCTTCAAAATTTACAGATAGGTTTTAAATTAAGTTTTTTTTTTTGGAAGAGCTTAATCAACCTTCAAATTGGATCTTATGGCCCAATGATTCGATCTTAAATCTTAAGTGTTTAGGTGAGGTGTTCGGAGTTTCAAGTTCCACCACAAAATTTCACAAAAAAGTGACTTGATGGTTGTGCGTCTTATTTAATGAGTGGAATGTTCACCCGGTCTGAAAATTGAAAATCAGTTACTAACAATTAACTCACATTAACTTTTTAATCATTACTCTTATAAGAAAAAAAAAAAAAACTTAACCAGCCTTCAAACACAGAACCAGATAGGCAGTTATTCGATCATGAATGCCCAACCAACAGGACCATGCGATGGCCGAATTAAGTCTATAGCACCACCGAAATCTGCACTTCCAAAATCTGCACTTCCCCAGTCTCTTCATCTCTCCGATCCCACTTCCAAAATCACCAATTCCAAAATTCATTTCTGTTACCACAGTCTGTGGCCGGGCCCCAGATGCCTTTACTTCCTCACTCTCACCTCTTCCGAAGTCTTTTCATCTGTAACCCCAGAGATGCCTTTTCTTCACCTCCAAAAATCTCTGACAGGACCTTTATCTCCCACAAGTGATGGGTCAATATTCATGTCCCACAGAAAGGTTATGCCACCGCCCCCACGGGCCCCTACCCATGAGTTTGCGTCCTAGTTTTTAATCAAAACATGCCATATGGCCCCCATCCCAACCCACTGATATCTGTGCGAGAAAACGGTAGCGAGCATCGGGTATCCGTACACCAGATACCTGCGGGTTGGGATAGATGACTATTTTACCTTGAAAAGAGGTTGTTAAATATGAGTAAGGGTACCTTTACCTAGGGATACCTTTACGTAGTCTAATGTAATTATTATATTTATATAAAATTTAAGTAATTTATTTTTTTATTTTTAATAATTAAAAGTTATTTATTTATTATTATATTTATTGAAAATAATAATTTTATTTAAAAAATTATAAAAAATAAAAAAATAAATTATTAAAATTTATGTAAATATAATATGAAATACTTATATGTAAATAAATCTTTACTCATTAAATATTAAGTATAAAACATATATATTTGTCAAAGTATTGGATAAATATTAAGTATAAAAGTCTATACTTATATACTTGATATATAAAAAATAAATCAATATATGGGAAAATAAAGAGAAATAAATATTCTAAAATTTTATCATTTTAATAAATTCTCATTAAAACAGATTAAATTAATTTATTTTTAAAATAAGAATGAGTTTATTTTCATTTTTCTTATAAGACGTTAATAAAATGATGTAATTTTAATATATTTTTTCTTTTACCTTGTATGAGTTTCGGTTAATAAATATTAATCTTAATAAATATTATATATATAAGAGAATATAACATATTAATCCTAACTCACATTAAAATTTTGATTTTTAATTTTAAAAATACCATCTTTTAATGAAAATTTTTAAAAATTAATAATTGAATTTAATATTCTATAAGTATAAATTATGTAGGTCAATTTTCAAAATAACAATTGGAATTAATGGATTTAATGTTCTAGGTCATGATTTCTGTTTATATGTCTTGCTCTTGCCTTATCTCAATTGACAAAACTTTTATCAGCAGTTTATATCAATTTCTCCCACATGCTCTCTTTTTCTAGTCACAAGTGTAAAAAATTGATTTTCTAAACAAACAAAATCTCACTAAACTCCCTAAATCCTCACCTTTGACGCCCAAATGCCAAAATGCTCCTTTTCTTTTCGAACGTGGACGGGACCATTTGGAGGTTGCTGTGCTGCTTCGACGTTGGATGGGGGATATTTTCTCACCAGGGTTGTGGGGAACGGATGGAGGAAACGGGTAATGGAGGGGAAGATGCAAAACGGGGGAAGAAGAGGACCCCCGTTCGTTCTGCGCTCTTTTTCCATTTTTTTAAGCAAGGCTAGCCCATGAATCGTTTATGTCGACGTTTTTCTTCTTCTTTTTTGGGTTTGGGGAGTGGACTTGTGGGGATAGACAAACTGGGTTGTCTTGGCCGAAACAAGGAATTAATCATCCAAGAAATGTTGCAGATGCGACAGATTTATCCAAAGTCCGTATTTCTAAACCGGTTTCAGAAGAAATGATAACAAATATGCAATCCGTTGCCCAGTGTAACAGTGACGTTTATAGCATACTATTAAATTCCGCCTGTAATTCATAGTTTCTATCATTCTGCTAAACAAGACTTGGAAAATTTCGTCCATTGCTTGAAATTAACTCTTCATTCTGTCCCTCAAAACCTACAGCAGGCCCATTTTTATTTGTTTTCTCTTTTTTTTTTTTCATTCTCTCTCTTCCGCCACTATTCTTATTTCTCTCTCTCTCAGTTTCTCACTTCCTCTTTCCTATTTTCAAAATTTTTCTTTACATTTGTTAATTTCATGGTCATCAAACTTGTTTTCCACTACCAATTTCATAACTAAAACCCTTTACATGAACTTTAACGGGCCAATATTGTAGATCTCTCCACTTCTGGTATGTTCTTTTCATTCTTTCTTATGTTTTTTTTATTCAAGAAATTGAAATCATAAGTTAACTCTAACCTTAAATTACACTGTTCCAGGATTCTCATTTGATTATTATTCGAGTTTATTTTGGTCCTTCAAGTCCAATTCCATCACTGATGAATGTATTTTGGTTGTTGTAATTGTCAATTTGTTATTGGAAGATCTGAAGTATGAATAGATTTGGATTATATTACTTTTCAAGCAAAACTTCGTAAACAAATTGTCCAAAATCAAAGTTTTTGGTAGCACCTGTTGTTATCGGTTTAAGGTTTAATTTGAGTACCGTTCCATTTCCGTCGGTAACCAATTACCTGAATACTGTGTTTGGTACGGTATTGGTTTCAGCAATCTAACACCGTTCATAGCGATTATCAGAAAATTTGGACAGTATGGTTAGCATACCGCCCCGTGCCCACACCTGGACATTGATAGGTTCTGAAATGGTTGAAGATGTAAACTTGGGGAGGTTGTCTGATGTGAGTGAGATTACATCAAGTCATAATCATGGTGTACGCAGATCTCTGATGGTGTGAAAGGTGCAAGACTGATCTTTTTTGTTATGTAGGTTTTATGTTTATGGATGATTTAACATTTTAGTTCATCAGATCTCTTTTATAAACATTTACCTTACTAATCCATTTTATGTTTACTTGTTCCACCTTTTTAAGAGCCATAATTAAAAGAGAGAGAGAGAGAGAGAGAGAGAGAGGAAAACTTTTAAACTCAATAAGAATGAAAATACCATTAAAAAAACGGAAGAAGAAGAATGAAAGGCATTGGCTTTGAGTTCTTCAAATTCTTTGAGCAAACACAGTCCACATGGATATTAATATATCAAGCCACAATTTCCAAACACAACACAAAAGCATGAATTCTAAAATTTATTTTCTACACGATTGATCTTCTAAACAACCAGAAAACAAGCACAGGTTTGCAATCAGTTGCATGGACAATTGGTGATCCTCCTTATTTAAGCTCCTGCAAATAAAAATCGTAACACCCAGTGATTGAGATGGACACAACATAAAGGATTGTATGTCTCCATTGCAAAAGTCCAAATCTTAATAATAAATTGATACAAGCAACTAAAAAAAATTAGAGCATATCTCTGCACATACCTTTATAAGGATAAGAAATTAATTGTGAATAGGACGTTGGGATTGTGGTGCAGGAGGAGCGCTGTTTCGAGGGTCAATTTTATCAACCATTCTAGTGTTGTTTGAGTTTTGTGGTGGTGGAATGTTAACGACATCACCATGCACCCTACTTGTAACGTTAGCAGCACCATAATTCAGTTGTCGTCCTTCAATAGGCTGAAACTTTAGTAGAAATGTGATGGCAAGGACAATGTAAACAATGGATAAAATTTTCTTAGGGGCCATGGTGGGTAAGTAAGAGAGAGAGCTGAGCGGTACTGCGGGGTGGTGAATTGAATTGTGCGTCCTCAATATCTAAGGTGATCCGAAACAGAGGAGAAACAGGGTACTCTGTTTCTGAGAAGAGATAGAGAAGGAAAAGGAGACGAAGAGAAAAAAAGGATTATGGAGCAGATAGAAGAAATCAGAGAGGAGAGCGAGTGTGAGGGAGAGGGAGTCT